TTCTCTGAGCTTGGTTGTTTTCTTGCAAACGTTTCATTATCCAGCTAGGTAACATCTTCAGTGCTAAAATGGAATGCGGTTTGTACGGTACTGCTGATATGGATTCTTTTGCTAGTTCTGGGCTTTATGGATGTAAAGAGTGCTGTGACATCAAATGAGACCATAATTTCATCTTCATCTATGTGTACATCTTTGATTTTCTGGGCACTGCAGTGAGGAGTTGATCAAGTATCAACAGAGAAGAATGAACATTCTATCAACTCCTCACTTCATTTGCAAGAAAACAACCAAGCTCAGAGAACCCCAAGGACTCCACAGGGAGCAAACCCCACATTCACTAGCACTGATGATGTTACCTAGTCGAGTAATGAAACGTCTGCAAGCAAACAACCAAGCTCAGAGAGCCCCAAGGACTCCACAGATCCTATATTGCATATAAGGTGTCAGTCTGCTTGGTTTATTTTTCTTCTCTCCTTTTTGTGTGGAGTAGAGGTGAAAAAAAATTTTTTTTTTGCTATGGGATCTGCAAAAAGTCAAGGAAAAGAAATGAAGTTTACTTCTTGTCATCAGCATTTGAACTGGAAGTGAAGACAATTACTGCTTATACATATTGGAGAGTAAAAATGGTGATAGGGTGACAGTGCCCTCAATCACAGTACCAGTAGAATTTCTGTTGGCATGGGTGAATGGGTAAGATTGCCTTTTATTAGATTCAGTGTATGACAATGCAGTGAGAACTATAAAAAATAAGTATCCCTTGCAATAGAGCTACAATTTTTAAGGAAGATCTTATACGACTCAGATTGGTAACAACTGTATTTCTTGTGCTAAAAGTGATATTCTGTGTGCCATTCTAAAAGTATTACTTGTTTCATGCTTATAGGTGCTTTCCAATGGGAACTATTGGAAGAGCACATTAAAAAGAAACTGAAGAATCCTGGTAATGTTGAGCTTGTTCTTGAGAGGGTAAAATGTATCTTGAAAATTCCAGGAAAGGCAAGTTAACATCTTATTTTTATTATAAGAACAAGATGTAAAGAGACCTATTTTTTATCCTTCAGATATGAAGCTTATACTTATTAGAATGTTAATATTTTTAATAAATATTAAATTGAAATAAATGCTAATACAGATGTGGCCAGAAGTATTAGTATCTCTCCACTTTTTCCCAAATAATCCCAATTTGCTGTGAAATAGGTTGAAACTGATACAAGTAAATGGCATCCACCGTTCTTTATTCCATAATTCATAGAGCAGACACTTTTGATGTATGACTTAACATATTCTTGTAAATAATAAAACCAATTTAAATGGCATGGACAGAATTATTGATACCTCTAACCTAATATTTTGTAGCACACTGTTTTGAGACAATAACTGATATTATTAATATTAATATGTTAATAACAATATTTTAACTCATACATCAAAAATGCCTGCTCTATGGATTATGGAATACAGGTAGTCCTCACTTATCAGCCACTCATTCAACAACTGTTCGAAGTTGCGACTGCGCTGAACAAGCAGTACTTATGACTGGTCCTTGAAGTTCCATCTGTTGTAGCGCCCCCACAGTCACATGATCGCAATTCAGGTGCTTGGCAACAAGCTCACACTTACAACAGTTGCAGTATCCCGTGGTCACTTGAACGCCATTTGCGACCTTCCATGCTGGCTTCCCACCAGCAAAGTCAATGGGGAAGCTGGCAGGGAAGGTCATAAGTCGCCCTGGTAAGTTCCCTTGGCCTTCCTGTGCTTGTGCCCCACTATGCCATCCATCCCCTGACCTTCCTGTGGTCATGCTGCACCATCCACCCCCCACATCCTGCCACACCATCCGCTCCCCAGCCTTCCTGTGCTTGTGCTGCGCCATCTGCCTCCTGGCCTTCCTGCACTCACACCCTGCTGTGCCATCCACTCCCTCCATCTTCCTGCATGCATGCGGCCTGTGTCAAATCTCTCAAGCCCTCTCCCAGCCTCCCCCAACTTATGCACGGCCTGCAAAGGCCCTTCCAGGGTCTCCCCTGGCCTC